GCCCTTAGCAGCTCAAGACTGCCCTTGTCGCTCAGCGCACCAAGTGCCTCAGCAGCCTCGTGCCTGCACATAGAGTCCTCATCTTTATCCTCCAATACGCCCCTCAAGGGCGCGATGGCAGCATCGTGCCCCGACTGACCCAGGCAGTAGGCGAGTTCGTGCTTCAACAGAGCTGACGGCGATGCGAAAGCGGCGGCAATGGCCTCGATGGCGGGGACGGTCTGCGCACTGGGTGGCTGCAGGCCCGCAAGGTGCTTGAGAGAGAAAAGAGCGCGAAAGCGGCGGGCGAGGGGCTCCGACTCCGAGGTGAGGATGTTGCGAAGCGTAGGGACTTGGGTGTCCTGCTCTGTGACTGCCATTTTGCTGCTGTAGAAAAGAAAAGTAATCGCGAACTTAGTTCTTCACGTAAATGTCTTCCGAAAGCGGCTCGACTCTTTTTTGGCGGGGATGCAGAGATCTGGTGGGGTGTCAAAGTTCCATCTGATAAGATCTTCACCGCACCTGCATCTACACCAGTTGACGCTAGTCGAATACGGTTAGATGTAATGTGACAGCGTGGCAGACCAGTTGACCGAGTCCAGGGCTGCATGAGCCATGCAGGAACAAGCCGCTCCGTTCACCTTACTTTCACTAGCTATGACTCCTTTTTGCCCCGTCTTTACTCCCCGTGAGTGAAAGACTCAGCAGGTCAACAGCGCATCAAAGGGACAAAGACTATACCTGGACCTGCCGCATGGGGAATCGAGTAGCCTCACCCTCACCTTCACTTCACCGCGACTTCGCATATCGCCTGCAAACCCCCACCACGCTCCTTACACGTCACACCCACCACGACGTGACGGGGACAACTCTGTTACGCGACCAGACTCGACCGTTTTCACCTCTCACTTAGTATGGCGTTCCTTCGCGGAGTGTCCGACTGCTTCTGGAACTATGTCAGTCCGCGCAAGACACAACAGCGCCGCGAAAAGCCATACGCCTTCAAAGTGCCTGCGCTGCCCACTCGATCCGCTGCTCTGTCAAAACACACCACACCACCGCCTACACGAGACATGAGTCCCGAAGCGCACGTCAAGACCCGGGGACTCAGCCCACTGAGCACTCACTACGATATCGATGCGACGCTGCTACCGCCCTCCCCACCAGCTTCAGCTATGTCGTCCAAGGACCTGGAAGGAGATACCCTGGCCGCGCATTCGCCCGCCGCACTCACAAGAGAGTACGACAACGATGGCTCTTCGGCCGACCTATGGGATGCGAACGAAGAGACCATGGTCGTTGATGACGGCACCTACATGGTCGTACAGAAGAAGGTCAACCACGACCAGGAGCGGTACAGACAAGATCAACAAGCCCGTGAGCTGCGTGACGCTGGTTGGTCTGAGGACGCGGTCTTTCTTTTTCAGAAGCTGGGCATGCGCGGATTTGAGCCACTGATGCCCATTAGCTGGATCAATGATCTCGAGACTGTCCCCGCAGACCTATTCACCGAGAACATCGACAAGGCCTTCATCAAGCCAGCCTGCGGTACTGATTACAGTGGTATGTTACGATCTTGTAGTTGCTAAGAGGATCTTACTAACAGCGTCCAGCGCAGCATGCTCTCGAGAAGCTGTTCGACCTGGGCGGTGTCGCTCGCGACGCCTGGCAGACGCGGACGAAGCGCGCTCCCCACTTCCAGATCGGCAAGGCTGTCAAGGCATACACAAAATGGGCTATGAAGGACGGCAGAGTCGAGCATCTCTGGTCCCAGCTCCCTCTATTCCAAACCGTCACCTTCTCGAGACATGTGCACCCGGCCGTGGCAGAGCGCAAGATGATCGAGAAGCTTGGTCGGCTACACGAACTATGGTACGACGCTCTACAGATCGATGAGGCAGCAGCCCGCGGAGATGCTATTGTGCCTGAAGTCCCGACCCTCTATGGTATCACTGCAACGCACACCGTCATGGCATTTGTGAGCTACGCGCCGCCGACCTTGAAGAACGGACAACCTTCACTACGTTTACTCGCCATGTACGACTTTATGCAGGAAGGCTGCGATGTCTGGCATTCACTTGCTATCGCCATCTTCATCATTCACGCGAGGAACAGAATGATGCAGTTGAGGGAGTGGCTTCCAGAGCCGGAGGTATCAACCGGCGAAGACCCTGATCTTTGAACGACGAACACGAAACCAAAAACACAACACACGAGAATGGATGAAAGAGATGACAAACTACGTAATGAACGAGATGGATATGGTTATGAACGATGGATACGATTTCAGTGCGAGGCCTTTTGCTTCTAGATATACCCGGTTATGAGCGCAATACCCCCAGTTTTCTTTTATTTCCTTTGTCAGACTGGCAGAACGACTGATGTCGGGCTCCACCAGAGAGCTGGAGACGACGAATACCCCAGATTGCGTCACTTTGCACATGCCTCAACGCAAGCAAACTTGCGGTGGTTGATGTGACAGAACGAAGAAGATGAAATTGATCCAAGCCATTACATGGTAATTATTGAAAAAAAAACAGATATATCATACAATTGTATTTCTCTGCCTCATTGTGATACTGACTTCTGCATATATCGCGACCCTGTTGACGCCATAACTCCACATCTCGTGAGCTGGTGCTTCTTTTCCTTCATATGCCCTCATACCCCTTCACCCTCTCCTGGAGCGGCTTTTGTGCCCTTGATCAGACCTCCTTCCTCGGGGTCCACACCCAACCTGCTTCTTGACAGATCCTCAGATCTTCGAGCTTCTTCTCCAAATCCAACATGCAGTCCCTGCAGTGTCCCGAGAAGATGGTTATGGAATTGGTGGGGTTTTGGCACGGTAGTCTGTACCTGCTTCCCGGGTCTGCGCCACACATGGTGAACGGGTTGTCGTAGACTTGTGTCTTGTGCTCGCATGCGGTATGGTGGTAGAAGTTGCGTCTGCACATCGTTGTTAGATTGTGGTTTTGGTGAAGATGTAGGCTTGAAATTGGAGATTTGACTGGGAGATCGGGGACTGAGGAGGTTGTTAGTGGTCTTGCGGATAGAGAAAGGTTGGTTAGTAGCAGAGGTTGGAGAATACACGCTATTCAGTCACAGTGAATTCGAGTTTGCTACGTCCTTGTCGTTGTCGAGGTGAAGTGAGAACTTTTCCAGAGCAACTCTGAGTACCCTGCGGGAAGTCATGGTGAAGCACGATTTTGAGCTTTCCATGATCGCAAGACCTTGTAGGAGCCTACTTGAAGAGTGACAGGTCATGATATCCTCGAAGGAGAGCAAAGAATGAACTACGGGGGGTAGACATTTCGTCACTGTCGGCTCCTTGCAAAGCCCAGCTCACGTGATGTTTCACTCAGTTCAACTCCCTCGTACCAACCTGCACAGCGTGCCCCTTCATACTCGGCGGTTCAACCAAGCTTCCACGCATTCGCCCTTCACCCACCGGGACAAGACACCTTATACAGTACCAAGAGTCTGGGCAAGCAAGCCCGCTATGCGGTGTCTAGACTGTATAATCCGGGGTACAGACGGCTATGTAAACATTTACCGTACGTGATGGCGCACAATATGGCGGGTAAAATGTGATTGGCGCGTTAAGTTCCCCGGATCCCCAGGACTGGCTACTATTCTCCGGGATACGGGGAAATGTCGTGTTGTGATCACCTAGCATCACGCAAGGGGCACTGCGTACATGTGAAGAGGGAATGGCGGCTGCGGCGATGCGGACGTGGTGATGCGTCGTTTACGGATATGACAGCCTCATGTAATGGTATGCAAGAACTCATTTAGACGTTCTTGGTAACAAGGGGCAGTGATTCGGAAAGCCTGCCGTATATATGAAGTCAGGAGATCGATCCATATTCGCAAGATCTCAAGGACCAGGGACGGTGATCTTGCGCAGCCGGGCTGAGGGGTCGGAGAACTCATTACGATCTCGTAACTATGATTGCGGATTCGTGCTGCCGACATGTTCGCTGATTATGCTGGTCCAGAACATGAGCGCAGTGACGGTGAGAAGGAGACAAGCGGTATGCGGCTCAAGCAAGATGCAGGCAAATGTCTCTTGGCAGCGCGCTTGGACGCCCCACGAAAATATCGCAGTCCTTCATCTGTTGCTGTGACATCGCCAACACCTCACGAACTATGCCTGAAGTACTGCATAGCCTGCTAAGCTTCTTGGATATCGAGCAACCACCATACAATGTGTAAGAGATGCGCCTTCTGCCGCCACTTCTAGCCTTGGAAGCGCCACACGTGTCACGCGGCTTCACATAGATTACCAACTCACAACTCCACTATTCGGTGTTCACGCCAAGACGTTCTTTAACCGCAGGAAGATTGTAAAGGCGGAGAGCTTGGCATATGCATGCCATAGAGCTTGGGAGCACACGTGGATGGGTGCTTGCCAGGACAGTCGTAGCGCCGCCATGACCCGAAGCCCACTCCACCACGGAGATATTGACATGTAGGTTAATGACCGCCCGGTCTTGTCCCGTAACCGTTTGTTTCAAGTTACAGACCAATCACACCGGATGCTGCGCCGGCATTTCGCATGCCTTTCTTTCCAGAAGCCAAGCCCGGCATAGTGGTGTTTCTCCTATCGCAGCACTTGATCTACATCCTAGCTGCTAAGAGACGGACGGCCGTAGTGATGGCGAGAATGTTTGTCTTGGTCCCGCCAGCAGAATCGGGGCTACCCCATTGAACCACCAAGCCGCGGTGTATAGTGGAGCAAAGGCATATAAAGCCATCTTGAGTCGCCTCGTAGATCACCACCACGATCAAACATCTCCTTCGCTTCCTACCACAAGCAACTCATATTCAAGATGGTCTCTTTCACCTCCCTCGTCACCGCTGCTATTGCGGCCACTGGCGTTTTCGCTGCTCCCGCCACTGATGTAGCTGCTCGTTCGCCTAGTGACCTTGTTGCCCGCCAGAGCACTCCCAACGCCGAGGGAACTCACAACGGCTGCTGTAAGTCGGATCATGAAGTGATATGTTGAGCATAGCTGATCATGTGTCTAGTCTACTCTTGGTGGACCGATGGTGGCTCCCGCGTCACCTACACCAACGGTGCTGGCGGAAGCTACAGCGTCAACTGGGGAAGCGGTGGCAACTTCGTCGGTGGAAAGGGATGGAACCCTGGATCTGCCCGGTATGTCGACTCAAACAGCTGCATGCTTGATGTGAGACCTTTGCTGACCATGTATCAGTACCATCACCTACTCGGGTACCTACAACCCCAACGGCAACTCCTACCTTGCCATCTACGGCTGGACTCGCAACCCGCTCGTCGAGTACTACGTCGTTGAGAACTTCGGGTGAGCAATTTCGCGTGCGGACTGTATGAGAGACATACACTAACATCACAAAGAACTTACGACCCATCTTCCCAAGCCTCGAACAAGGGTACATTGACCGCCGACGGCTCTTCCTACAAGATCGCTCAGTCGACCCGTACCAACCAGCCATCCATCGATGGAACTAGGACCTTTCAGCAGTACTGGTCTGTTCGCCAGAACAAGCGTTCCAGCGGATCCGTCAACATGAAGACTCACTTTGACGCCTGGGCCAGCAAGGGCATGACCCTTGGTAGCCACTACTACCAGATCGTCGCCACTGAGGGTTACTTCTCCACTGGCTCCGCCTCCATCACCGTCAACTGCCCGTAAGCTTTCTATCACGGAAAGACTCAACTTCCTGAGGCGGTGATGCAGATGATGTGAGGGTGTGAGAGTGTGATGATGTCTAAGATCGTTCACTTCGCTGGCGACTTCTTTACTGTAAATATTATTTTATGCTGGTTTGCTAGCACAAAAATGTCAAACTTTTGCCATTCCACATACCTATTCACGTCGCTGTCATTCACTGGTGCCCACTCTCCACGCGCACGACATACTAAAGCAATGCGCGAGACCGAACTTGCTTCCTCATAAAAGAATTCTCAGTATTAGACTTATAACCATGTGTTTCAAACACTACATACGACACTCATGCCAGCACAAGCTCCTCGGCTCTCATAACACTTTCACGTTATGTCCACGAGCCCAAAACCGCCCCCCACAGCGTCAATGCAACAAGGTCGAAAATCGAATGCACCCCGAAAGTAGACTGTGTCCAGACTTTCTGAAGAAAGACCAAGAACGTCAAAGTAGGGAAGACAACAAAGGCAAGAAACCATCGAACGATCGTTGGCCCGGCGGCTCAAGATGGTCTGGCTATGGCGGTCTAGGCGGAAGAGATAGCTACCGCGACGATGTACCGCAGTAGGTAGCAGATGTGAGAGACCAGATTGCGGGGCAAGGTGAGGTTGATGGGGCTCATGATGACTCGATGGCCCTGGAGGTGCCCAGGTGTCGAAGCGCCCGTCATGTCCACCCATGGACGTGTCTTGCTCAACTCACCTTTACCTGCTCACCAGAGCCTGCGACAGCTAGTAGCTGCAATAGCAGCTCCACTCACATTATCGTAAATATTTATCTCTCCTCACTACTACTCAACCTGATCTTGAGCACCCTTTTAGCTTCAACAGCCTACACTCACACGTATCCAAGCAAACGCGGTAATCAGTCCCCGTACATCATTACTTCTTACTACCGAAATAGCTATTCAGAGCGACTTGAGCTATGGCAGACAACCGCTTTGGCTACACTTTGCAAGAGTTCCACGATACGATCGCCAAAGACAGTGAGTGGCGAACAAATTTCCGCTACCTACCTATAGCCACGAAGGCGAACCTCAAGTTCTACGTAGCAAGCCGAGAAAAGCAAGGCAACCAAGGAACCTGGCTGCTCATTGGCAATCAAAAGAGTACTAGTCAAGCCCGTGTGTATGCAAAAGCATACAGGTCTCCTGCGAGCGGCGTATTCAACCTGGTGTGCCTCAGGCTTGGTGATGGCCCTAATATAGAAGTACACCTTCGGCAAGAAGAGAAGGAGATTGAGCTGCTGCGAGAAACCGAATACCATGAACCCTTCAATTGGCTTGAGAAGATTGGCAGTGGCCCTTGGTTCAAGTCACTACGATTTCTGGTCTTGTATTACTTCCTTGAGCAGAATACCCCGGGTCTTGACCGACTTGTCATGACACATGACGGCCTGAAAGTCTTGAAGAAAGCATGCACAATGATCGCCAATGCGTCAAGGTCGAGGAAGCCGACGCGAGATCTTCTAGCTCTTCCAACGATTGCTAGCGATATCACGAAACCCGAGACTGACAGGTCGAACATGGAGCTTGACCAGGAGATAGAGAAGAAGCTACTTGTCAAGCGAGAGCTCTCGGTATTCCCGCCACTCAAAGCACCTGAGAATGACTCTACGCGGGCGCTTGATAACATGGGACAACAAGGCGACAACGTTGCCACAAGGCCACTTCCGAAAACAAAGACCTATGATCAGGAAACAAATATAAAACACGAAGCTGTACCAGCAATGTCTGAAACTGCATTCAAGCCCAAGAGGAAGAGGCCTGCAAGCGATGACGCCGCGGGAGAAGACGAGAAGGAAGACCCAGTACTGTTGGTAAGTCAGGTTCGGGATAGCAGAATTCATCAAAACTGACCACCACCCCAGTGTGGCCGTTTGAAGCGCGTCATACGACAGGAAATCGAGGGCCTAGAAGAGACAGAATCAGCGCTTCAAGATGCACTGAATGCGCAGGCCATGTCACTCAACGAAGCTCTGCAGTCGAAGTCTAGTCTCGAAAAGGCCTTGCTAGATGTCGAGGCGAGGGTACAAGCCGAGCAGGCAACGAAAGCGGCTACGGAGACAAAGCTGAACAAGGTGGAGAGTGAGTTGAACGATAAGAGGAAGCTTGAAAAACGCGTTGACTCTTTGTACACCTGAGGTACTCGAAGTAAGAGATGGCATGGCCTGCGAAGATGACCACCGATCGCCAACAGAAGGTGTACACTCCGCTAAGGGACCCTATCTCCACCAAGAAGAGTCCATACTCAACTCAGAGAGTGTACTCAAACAAGATACTGTATACTTAAACACCATATGAGTTCTGAATATCGTAGCCAACTGAAACGGATTTCTTTCGTATGAACCAATCTACATTACAAGTGCGCGGTGACATCAGTGTATAGTGGCATCGTACCCGGAGTTGTTGCAAGCGCTTCCTCGATGATCGATAAGGCGAGATCGATTTGCTCCTCCGTGACTGTAATGGGTGGCGCTATCCGGAATACTCCACCAAACGATGCCATCGTGGCTAGCTGGGCCCATAAGCCCATCTCTGCAATCTTTGTTGACACTGCGGCTCCTACTTCCGGGGCACCGACCTTTGTCTTTCTGTCGCCAACAAGCTCCATTCCAGCCATCAGACCGCGACCACGAACGTCCCCAATGCAACCGTAGCGTGACTGCAATTGCCTGAGTCCTGCTTGGAGCTTGACACCGAGCCTCTTGGAACGAGCGCAGAGCTCGTCTCTCATGACGATCTCGAGAACCTTGTCGCCCACAGCAGCTGGAAGGGGATCGTTGATATGGGTAGTGTAGAACAAGAAACCGTTGTCTTTGGCATGCTGGGCGATGGGGTTCGAAGTTAAGACAGCACTGAGCGGTATGCCATTTCCAAGCGTCTTGCTGAGTGTCACGATATCCGGTACTACGCTTTCGTCCTCGGGGTGGTGTGTGAATGCGAACATATCGCCAGCTCTGCCAAGTGCTGTCTGTGCTTCATCAACAATGAGAAGCATGCCTCGAGCGGTACAGTGGTCCTTCAAGGCCTTCAGATATCCAGGGGGAAGCTCCAGCATACCGCCACTCGATAGGATCGGCTCAACGATAGCCGCTGCGAGTGAGCCGCAGGACTGTTTGTCTACAAGATCGAAACCGTAGTCCAACTCAGTCTTCCAATCATGCGTACCATCAGCGTGTCTGAAGATCGATCGATAGGAGTTTGGGGTCGGCAGTGCTAGGTTCTAATGTAGGTTTACAAGGTCAGTGCACGTCTCACATGCAGTTAAGGCAGATACGCTTACCCCAATCATGTTTGGACCGTAACCTGAACGTCCAGCGTGATACTGCGCACCGAGCGATCCGCCTGTCATGCCGTGCCATGAGGCAGCCAGACCAACAATCTCCCATTTGCCAGTGTAAAATTTGGCCAGCCGGATCGCGGCTTCGTTCGCTTCGCCGCCCGTACTGAGAAAGAAAGCTTTGTCGAGCCCAGCCGGCGCAACGCCAGTTAACCGTTTCGCAAGATTGATGACTGGGGGACTGATCATCCCACTGAAAAGATGATCGAGATGTTGCGCATGATCCGCGATCACTTTCACGACCTCAGGATGGCCGTGCCCGATCAGAGTGCTCATCTGCCCGGATGTGAACTAAATGCAACAATTAGCGGTGTATACTTGAGGCTTTGGGAGCTTGAAGCCACTTACGTCCATCATTCGGTGACCCGATGCTGTCTGCACATTGATGCCGTCGGTAGAGGTGATGATCTCAGGATGGAATGCGGTCCCGTATGTGAGCAGATTGTCGTCCGCATCGCGCTGCAATTTCGTAATGTCGGCGTCTGCGTATGGAAGAGGCATGATAGTGTCTATCTCGCTGCAGCTGTACTGGTCGATGGGAAAGATGATGTTTGGCGTTGCTTGTGTTCCCCATGTTGCTGAATAGCTGGGGACTGGTTATATAGACAGTCTTGTATGCAGTCCCAGGCGCCATCCCACGGAACGATACGCACAAAGACGCATTGCTATGTTTTCCGACGGAGACGCTGGAAGCATCAAAGCAGATACACGTGACCGTATCCCGTCGGAAAGAACCTTGGAAGGTGCAGCCATGGAGGTGGCAGGGGATGATAGCGATAAGCATTGAGCTAACTACGGCTGGCGCTTGAGCCACGATGACGACGCGAAACCCGAGAACGCGACCGCGACCGCGCAACTTCGGGAAAATTGCAATGTGCACTTCTACAGCTCAACAGCCGCGCACGCTGCATCAATACACCGAACCCCAAACTCCATGATCTTCATACCACTCACATTCTCAGCCCGAGCTGTAGTTACTCTCGACCCATCCACCATCAATAGACCATGACGCTTTTGTAACGTGCGCAGCCTCATCGCCCAGCAGGAAAGCGACCGATCCGGCTATCTCCCATGTTTCTGGAAGCTCACGGTTCAAGATACATGGAATGTTGTCTTTATTCAGATGGAATTCACCGGCAGCTGAGTTGAAAGGCCTAAGTATCGGAAGTCAGCGAATGTGTTACGATCAATCTGTACAGAACAGAACCTACTTCGTCATCATCTCTGTGTTGAAGCATCCGCTGCCTACAGTTAGCTCAGGTCGTCTTCAGACATCCGAGTCACTTACGGGCACAGCGCGTTGACCCTGATTCGCCTCGACGCCCCTTCAAAAGCTGCAACTTTCGTAAGACCAATGAGCGCGTGCTTGGCGGCAACGTATGCTTCAAGGGTGGAGATGCAAAGTCAGCGTGTGTTTCGTATGCATTTGGAAAACCTCGGTATTTACCTGACGTGCCAGGCGTTCCGTAGTGGCTCGCAATGCTTCCAACATTGACGATTGAGCCACCGTCCTTGATAACCTTCATTTCTTCTTTCAAACAATGGAAAGTACCAACAACGTTCACGTTGAGTAGCCTAGCGAAATATTCTGGGTCGAGATCGGTTATAGGGAAGATCTCGCGTTGCTCC